TTACCTTAACACTCCTCAATAAAATCTAATATGATTAACTGTTTTGAAAAATGACTTTCTTACTATATAAAGTGTACATGTGCATGAAACAGAATAATTATTAATGTTGTATGCCACAAATTGGGCCTTTATGGAAGTGTACTAAGAACATAAAGCAATGTTGGGGAAAAAAAGCCACATTAGCTCCAGCTTCATTATTTGTCACAAGCTACTTGGGGGAGCAACATGGTGAAGAAGTTGTTCTGGTCAGATGAGATCCAGACTAAATGTCATGGTCTGACATTCAGTCTGACCATGACAGACTTATTCTGCACACTTTTATTCTGTCTGCAGAATAAAAGTCTTACAGTGTAACAAGGTGGTGGCAGGATGATGCTTTGGAGACGGGAAGCTTGCTACAGTTCACAGACAATGATCCAAAACAACCAGTCAGACCTTTAAAACCATAAAATAATAATAATTATTATTATTGTTATGGGCAACTTTCTGTTGGTCTGTTAAGATTCAAAATCTAATTTGAACAAAAAAATAAAAAAGTAGACAACGGAAGAGTATTTCTGTAAAGCTCGGCAAGTAGCTAATTTAATTTAAAAAACTTTAGTATTCATGCAACCGCTTTCCACTTGCAATATGCATAAAATGACATACAAGAAAAGCATAAAAAGAGTCACCCTCATGAATCAAAGTTAGAGAAATATCCACCTAAAGCTTTTTATTATTAGTCACTTCAGGTAAAACAGGGAATTTATGATTAATCACACATTTTAAACCCAAAGCACTTATTCAAACCTGACATGGAGGTAAAGGGTTCAACAAACTACATAGCTGCTGCTCGCTCACATAGGATGTGGTAACTGCTATTCTTAACATAAACAAGCGACTCTTTCCTTTTTGACCAGTATGATACAGTACAAGTCATATTCTTGAAATATCTCTGTATTGGATACTGCAGATGTTTTTGTTTCATTTTCAGGAGCTGAAAGGCATTCAAGCCTCCATGAGTTCAGATCGTTACACGCTTGTAGTTTATGGTTAAACCTCTGAATCATATCTGATTCTGTGTCATTTAATTTTACAATGTCAGAAGCTAAATCACCCGATGACAAACAATGTGAAAAAACAATTCTATAAAAACACATCATTATGCCAGGGGCTTGCATTGTCTTACACCATCTGTGTAAAGATTGTAGATGTGTAACAGATTGTAGTAGTTTTAATTAAAACGAACAGCATACAGGTAACAAAAGGATCCAGTATGTGAGGTGAGAGAGCTTATAAAAGGAAGGAAGCCACAAATGAATGCACACAGAAATGACTCTTGAGAGTTCAGACCACCACTAATTAAACCTCGTATATAAGCCTCAGTAAGGAGTGTTTAATGAGCAGGCCACTGGTTTGCACCGAACATCTTGCATATTTCCAGTTGACTGCTAAGTGGTTATATGCTAAATTACTTTGCAGGGATCGTATATACGTTGTTGAATACTGGTGAAACAAGCCATCTGTTGCATCAGAAAACCGTCTCGTCTTTGAGTTCTTCACCATCTGAACATTGAGGTAGGGGAATGAATTAGTCAGTTTTACCATGCAGTATGTGTCCAGTCTTTATTGATAAGGGGGAAAAGGCTGAGTTTTAACTGAAACACAATGTAACAGAATGCGAACAAACTTTACAGTTAAATATGTGTAACCAAAAACGCCCATGTCTGTTTGCATCAAATACCGAGTGGAGGTTTTTGATATGAGGGGAATGGCTCCACCCAGAGTGTTATCATAGGCATGAGCGTTGCATTGTTCTGCACCTTTAAGAAAACAGTGCCCGATTGAGTGTCACTGTATGTGTTTGCATTTCCACTTAATGAAAAACAGTTGCGCCCATGTTGGGCACATTGCAAGCACCGTAAGAAAATTTGGTCAACTTAAGGGGAACCTTATAGGTTACTAAATGTAAACTGAACTCTTTGTTCGAAGTCTGATAGAGACCAAAGTTAAAACAACAGAATCCAGACTGACTCTTTCAAACACAGTTTCCATCCCGAAAAGAAAATTAAAGGGGAACTGTTGAAAATTATTCGGAGCTGTATGCAAGAAACGGCAAAAACTGCATCGATTTCTACTCAAAACGCTTTGCTGCCGAACCTCCTGATCCTACCGAGGCTGAGTGAAAAGAGCCACGAAATGACTTTATTACTTCATGTTAATTACATGCAAGATCTTAAATTCAAAACTTGCAGGGAAGCTGCACTCAGTCGGGTTATCAAACACACTCAGAGTCAGCGTAGCATATGAACTCGCAGCTGCTTTGAGCACAGGCTGCTGGATGTGTTCACCATTTTGCACACATGGCTGAGTCTTTGTCTTTCTGCATCCCCGAGTTTATCTTTTTTTTTTTTTTTTTTTTTAAAGAAATAAATAAATAAAAAATGTATCACACACAAGCAGATAAACACAGGTGGGGCAGGAACAGCCGTAATGCAACACTGCTCTATTTTAAGTCTGCTTTATGTCAACTCATGCTCTCCTCTCTCTGCTCTTATCTTCACCTGCCTCTCACTTTGCTTTAACAAGCTGTCACCTCAGTCACGCTCTTCAGAGACATTTATTATTTCTCTCCATTCAGACGCTTTCCCTTCCCTTTTATCAATCTTTGCAGTGCTTTTCCCCCCTAACTTTGTTCTTTCCTCCTTCCAGAATTTTTCCCGTTAATGCAGGTAGAAAGTGCGGCAAGCCACTTGTTGGTAAAAGACGTCACGTTAGCCCTCCTTAGAAGCATGGATGCTTAATGAATGCCTTCTACCAGGGGTTTTCTAACCTATTTTCTCTGTCCCCTAACTTGCATAGTGAGTGTCCCTGTTGTGCGCAGGAGCAAGTGTTTTAAAAGTGATTACCTCCTCCATGCAGGAGGGCTACAGGCACATCCTCTGCATTGTGGCGTGAGTGTCGGGGAGCCCCCGTGATGCGCAGGCTTTCCTTGCTCATTAAAAAGAGCTGAGTGTGCAGCCCCAAAGCCCCAGTCCTCCTCCGCAGTGCCCATGCTGGATCGACACCAGAATGTAACAGTGCAGCACATCAGTCTCTCATAGACCTTAAAAAGCAGCTGCACAACTCTGTAGCTCTGCTGCTCCCCGGACGCAGCTTTCTATAACTGCAGCAGCGCTCTAATAATGCTCAATGGGAGGTCCTGGCAGGTTTTAGAACAGCCACCCTTGACAGCTCAGCACATATGCGTCGGGAGAAAAAGCTGACAGTAGTTTGAACAATGTGAGTTTTGGAAGAGAGGATTCAAGTCTTTGTTTTAATAAATGCAAAGAATTTAAAAGCATCGCCAAAAGCTCTTAAACTGTAACCATTAGACGTATATTAAACCTTTCCTGGTGGCCAGGAGGGTCACAGAGCAGCAGCATGTAGAAAACCCTGGAGTATAACAGAGAAGTAAATTGGGATCATTGATGCAGTCGTGGTAAAAAGAGAATACACCATCACTAAGTTCAGCGGTTTATTTGTGCATGATAGATGGTTTTGCTTCATCCTTGTTTAATAAATAGCAACATTTACGGGGTTTCTATACTTTAAGACATTAACACAAAAATGCAATACCTGTTCGTTTAAATGTCAAATCCCCGAAGGTGGCCCAGAAGGTTTACCGTGAACATTCAGAACCATTTACATGTCGTCTCCAGGGGATTTGTTCACATTAATTCAGGTCAATCCAACTCAGTTTAACAGAAACCGCTTACAGCACCAACACTCAAGTCACATGTGAAGCAACTTTAACGAAGAGAACCGCATTTGATTCAGTTTAGTTCAATCCAAGCTCTTCATGCAGCACAAATCACGTCAAACCAGGAACAATTTCATTCACATAAAATCCATGTAATTCAACTAACTTGGATTTAGTTACTAAATTTTAATTTCAGCTGATTTAAAACTGCAGTCAGTGCAATAAGCTCCTTTGAGTTTAGTAAGTCAAGTCAACACTGATCGGTTCAGTTCCTTTCAATAGAACATAAAGCTGTTCAACTCTCAAGATCGGGTGAATTCAGTTTAGTGAGTTTTTTTAGATGCAACCAGTTACTACTTTAGTGAACTGAAGCTTAATTCAGTTCACTAAATTGGAGTCAATTCAGTGGAACCAGGATCAGCGCACGCCTCGTCACTTTAAAGAAAATAAAATCAATCCGATTGAGTTTGTTTGTTGTTTTAAACACAAATACATTTAAAAAAATGTTCAGCTAATTTCTGCCAATCTCAGTTTTTAAGGTTTGTTTAAACTAAATTCATCTCAGTTTATTTGAGCTCAACTACGCTTATTTCAAGAAGACTCATTGCAATGTCATGTGACCCAAGTGAACTGAATTGAGTTCAGTTCAGTTCAGTTGATCTGAATTCAGGTCAACAACAGCAACTTTTATTAAATTTATTACAGTTCAGTTTATTTACACTTTAATTGGTTCAGTTCAATGAAATGTAATTAACAGTGTTTTTTTTTTTTTTTTTTTTAATCCAATTCAGTTCAATTTAGTTCTGTTTAACTTCACATCCTATTTGTTTCCCATCAAGTCATGCATTTATTTATTTCTGTGTTTTCTGCAAAGTTTCTGCCTGACTGATGCGTCCAATCGAATAAAAGGGAGTTTTCATATTTTTGCTTGTTTTTTTTTCCATTTTGAAGGTTAAAGCTACTTGCTACAGGAAAAAAGCCATTTTAATTTTTTTTTCTACATAGAACAATAAAAGATGTAAAGATGATATATTTTCAGTTTTTCTCTATCTTGATTACTGCTCTAACATGAAAACACGTTGTTAGTGACTTTTAACAAAATGATTTATCCTCCTTCAAAGAGGAAATCATAAAACACCCAATCACCATTTGGTGAACAAGAGTTTCAGCTTCTAACAAACACAGGCTTCCCTGCAGATTGGTGCATCTGCTCCTCATTAACTGATGTGTTTCTCCGCTCCCCTACCTGCCTGTTCCTCCTTCTTCTGCGTCTCTGCAGGATCCTGCTGACGGTGGTGGTGATCTTCCGTATCCTCATAGTCGGGATAGTGGGCGAGAAGGTTTATGAGGACGAGCAAATCATGTTCATCTGCAACACCATGCAGCCCGGCTGCAACCAGGCGTGCTACGACAAGGCGTTCCCCATCTCGCACATCCGCTACTGGGTCTTCCAGATCATCCTGGTGTGCACGCCCAGCCTGTGCTTCATCACGTACTCCGTGCACCAGTCCGCCAAAGCGCGTGACCGCAGCTACTCCCTGCTCCACTCTCACATGGACCACCACGGACACGGCCACCACGGTCGCCACCACGATCATCACGTCCGCAAGCTGCACTCCCGCAACATCAACGGCATCCTGGTGCACCCCGAGAGCAAGGACGACCACGACATGGACGTCAAGGAGATCCCCAACGGGCCCCGGGGGGCACTGCCCACGCACAAAAGCTCCAAAGTGCGGCGGCAGGAAGGCATCTCCCGCTTCTACGTCATCCAGGTGGTGTTCCGCAACGCCCTGGAGATCGGCTTCTTGGCCGGCCAGTACTTCCTGTACGGCTTCAACGTGCCGGGGATGTTCGAGTGCGACCGGTACCCCTGCGTGAAGGAGGTGGAGTGCTATGTGTCTCGTCCGACGGAAAAAACTGTCTTCCTGGTCTTTATGTTCGCCGTCAGCGGCATATGCGTGCTGCTCAACCTGGCCGAGCTCAACCACCTTGGATGGAGGAAGATAAAGACGGCCATGCGGGGCGTGCAGGCCCGGAGGAAGTCCATCTGCGAAGTGCGCAAGAAGGACGTCTCACACCTGTCCCAGGCCCCAAACCTGGGCAGGACCCAGTCCAGTGAGTCAGCGTATGTCTGACAGAGGCTTCTCCGCCTGGGAGCTCGAGGACCTTTGAAACTTTGGACCAGAGCTTTTCCCGGGCCTGCTCAATAGGACACAGGACTGGCTACTGAACCCGTACTGGTCAAGAGCACAGACTCTGGGTAGTCCCAACAAAACAACATTTCACCCAAAAGAGTTTTTGACACCCTAAGACAAAAAAAAAAAAAACAGAACCAACCGCGAAAACTTGTTCGTCCAGTTTTCTGACCTCTGACCTCTCCCTGGGTGACACTCGGTGCTTTCAGAGAGACTAACACTGAAACTGAGCATTTACAAATAACACTAAGATACTGTAAAGCTAGACTGAGGTTGAAAAAGTTCTTTCTTAGTTGCCTTTGCTGTAGGTCAGGAAAAAAAAAAGATGATGTAATTTTTTTCCATATGTGCATATGCAAGAGCTTACGCGAGTGCTTGCATGCATGCACACGCAGGAGAGTGTGTGCGCATGCGCGAGCGTGTGTGTGTGTGTGTGTGTGGGCGTGTATGAGAAACTGAATGCTAAATTATTCTGAATTACTGAACGTAAGATAGTTATTTCTCATTGTTGGAGAATATTCACTTGATGGATAAATAAGCACCTTTTTTCTTAAACGAGCACCAGAATGATCCGTGTGAACTGGAACACAGTATTTGTGTTGGATTGTTGTTGTCGCTGCAGGATTTTTGTTTTTTGGGGGGAAAAAAAGAAAAAAAAAAAGAAATGTCACACTTCTTTATGTGCTTCGATGGATCAGATGCCACAAAGGAAACGGACTGACGATGAGTTTTATTTGCTACACTGTGTCGGTGCTCTCCGTTGCTCCTGGTGCCTCCGAGGCACCAGAACCGAAAACCTACGCCAGGATCCTTACGTTAGCTTGTAAAATGCTCTTGCTGCCGAGGGCTTATGAATGGAGTTACACGCAGAACCTTTTTGAGTTAAACGGAGGAAAAAACACAAAAATAACGTAGTCACAAATATTTTAATGCATAACCTCAAATCTTTTTCACAAGCACATTTGGTGCCATATTTCAAAGCTACTGTACATAGAGGAAATGTAGTAATTACACTTAGCCTTTTCCCCCCTGTCACATATGGATAGGCTACATGTGGGCGGGGAGCAGGGGCTTTTCGGTGCTTCTGAAAATTAACCATAGATTGCAGCTTTAACAATATTTAGCATTAATGTGCTCTTTGTTATGCCTTCAATTCCCCCTCCCCTCTAACGGAGACAATGTCCCACAAAGTGTTTTATTTATTATTTTCTTCCTTCCTTCTTCGGACTTTGAAAAAGGCATGTTACAGAAGCATTAATAGAATGGAATAGAATATGACATGTAACTTAAAAAGAGACTGTTTTATTTATTTGCATCCTGCTCCTGTGAAATGTAATATTCAGCATGCATGAAGATGAAAAATATAAAGAGACACGGCAAGGGAATCTCGTTTTATGGGGAACACTGAAAGCAGAAAATCGGAAAGGCGCCTCAACTGCAGCAATAATAGACTATAACATGTGAAAAAGAAATATGTGAATAAATGATTATGCAGCGATTCTGGTCGCATTGTGTTTTACGGTCCCAATTAACATCGCATTGCTTCAGTTTTCAGTTGATGCGTTGGAAAGGTCAGAGCAGACATACCGGACAGAGCAAACCACACGCATCAACAGAATGAACGCGGAGCATCAAAAGCAAGAGTTTAATGCACAGAGAATTCAGACCCTGTGGTATTAAATTATACTTTATTGCACTGAATTGATCCAGCATGCATTTAGGTGGTAATAAGCTTATTTATATTTAAAGTGCTACACATTTCATGATGAAGTGTTACACATTTCATCATATCACAGCCAGATTTTAAATCTAATTCAATGGGATTTTAAGTGATCGACCAACAGAACGCAGTGTATAATTGCGAGTGACAAATGCCTTTAAAAATTTCTACTGTTTAAAGAATAAAGAAATTCCATTTTGGGACATGCCTCTATTGTTTTAACACATCTAATGACGGTTAACTAAATGGCATGTCGGCCATGTTTTATTTTGCGGCACTTGAGAAAAGTTTGCGTCAAATCCATTTCACACCACTCTGATTTGTGTTTTTCAAGCATTTTTAAAGTAGCCATATCTTTTTTTTGCATGTTACAATTATGTATATTCTGAGTTGCTCCGTTGTGCAAAATCCCAGTAAAAGACAGGAAAGGTTGTGGTTGCAGCGTGGCAAGATGTGAACAACTTTAAAGTGATTTGCAAAAGTCCACAACAGAAAGACGCTCAGACCTCCACTTCAGCATTTATTATTTAGCTCAAAGAGATGATACATCTCTCAGAGAAACACACTCTTAAGGCTACTCCTGATGAATTATTGATCTCTAATCTGTTCATGTCAGGATATTACACTCTTGGGCAAACTTTTTTTGTTCTCCCCGTAAACCCAGTGCAAAAACTTTTCCCTTTCTTGCTTTTCCGCCATCAAAGCTTCCATGCGTTTGAGCTGTATAAATATCCCCCGTCTGACGCCCACTGTTCCCAGAGTCTGTGACTCATTCAGCAGGCAGGTGAGTTACTAGATGGGAGCTGATAATTTCAGTAATGAGCGAGGTTACTGAGGGAGAGAACACAAAGGTGTGTGGGTGGCAAACCTTTTAGCGTTATTAAACCTTCAGTCGGCGCGCGAGGCACGTGGCCGCATCCTGGGGACGCTCCGACGGCGGCGAGGGACCAGAGGAAGAGGAACAAAGGTGATGTGGAGGAGTGCTAATAAAATGGAGTGTCGGATATTATGTAAAGTAATGAAAGTGATGTTTATTTATTCCCTACAAGCCACACACACTGACACACAGAAACCCCGGACTGAATACGTTTGGAACATGAAGGCCAGCCGACACAATTTAAAGCACACACACGCATGCAAACAAACCGAGCTCAAACGCTGACGCTTCGCTGAGGATGTGACCAGGCCGGTTGCTGTGGCGACAGGAGGCCAGTAATGATGTTAAGCAGCCGAGAGACTACACCAGTCAAGAGCAGAAGCCCTGGACTATATCTCCTGTCGCTCCCTGGTGTCACACAGAGAACATTAAAGTCCACATTGATTTGTGCTGAACGTTTGACACATGGTGAGCTGGGCTGGGTTCTCTGCTGCAGCGCTGAAGCTTCGGCTCTGAGTGTCCAGCTCCTAAAGATGCACTAATGAGGTGAACGTTGAGTAGTGGCTGAATCCTATTTTCCACTGTTGCAGCAGTTTTATGAAACGGTGCTTCCTTTTCGACAGGCTGATAAAAACATATCCACAAATGGTCCTCTCAAAAAGTTTCTCTTTAATTCAGTGTCAAACTGTCATGATGAGTTTGTTAGCAGATTAAAATGCAGGAAGATGAGATGGTGAATAGTCTACTAGAGTTAATGAAAAAATAATGAACCACAAAAAAAATCACAGAGAACCCAGGGAGCCAGAGTAGAACAAAAATTATAAATCCAATGGGGGGGGGGAAAGAAGAATGTCAGGATACTGATGGGGATGTAATGGGATTAATCAAAAGAAAATGAACCAGAAGGAAAGAGAGAGAAGTGAATAAATACCGGGAGTGTAGATGCTGGAGAAATGGAGCAGGATAATTGATTAACAGGTGTGGGTGGAGAGAGCAGCCGGCATGCAGAGGAGAGAGAGAGAGTGACAAAGGTGGGTCTAGGAAATTAAGATTAACATTAAAAAAAACAAAAAACCAGACAAGACATAAACAAGCTGGAATCACTAGGACTGAAATAAAGTAAAAACAGAATCAAGGCAGACCTGATGAAAAGAAATGAAGGAATACAGAACAAACCCATAAACAACTCAAACAACATAATGTAACACAAACAGAATATTAATTTACTATATAGATCAACTACACAGATTTGAGGTTTTCCAAGTGATTTTTTACAGTTTGCGAAAACTCAAAATTCAGTTTCTCAAAGGGTTTGAGAAACTGCATATTTCTGCAAGGGGCGTGAGCCACAAAATGACCATTTGCAACAAGTTATCTTTACAAAATCTTGCCGTTCACAGAGGGAGGCATCCAAGCACATAAAAAGAAAGTTGAGTAGAAGGAAAACATATGGCAGAAAAAGTTGGACAAGGAACAGACATCACCCACAACACCAAACCCACATTTGAAATACTCATGAAACACCTCTGCATTTCTAGAGAACATCTCAAACTCTGTCTGTTACTCTCTTTACCCGATGCAAGAAAACAACAGTCTATCATTTAATCTCCTCAAGAATATATTAATGTAATCCACTCTTTTAAGAAACATCAACAAACAATTGATTGCACAACATGGATCCTAAAGGAAACTTGAGCATGTCACTCCACTGTCTTCCTATATTGAGCTGGACTAGACATGAAATAGCTCTGCTTACTCACCAATGTGAGATTTGGTTTTTGTGCCATTGAACACATTTAATTTGCATGTGCATGCTCAGTCTTTCGTATTGAACTGTCTCCCTGAAAACATTTTGATTTAAAAGGCTAAACTATGCTGCCTCCTGTGCAAAAGAGCAAAGCAATGCAAAAAATACTCTTATAATGACAAATGAATCCAAAACTGCTCTCATTCTCGAATCAGAATTCAAACCGGTCCTGGTCTTGTCTTAGCGTGTTTTTGTCCTCAGCAGAGGCCACTGAACAGAGCAATGCATAACACAGTACATCCCATCCGCTTAATCATGCATTAAAGTGTGCAAATAGCTGGTCAACAGCAGAGGAATGATGAAGAGAACAGTTCTTTTTCTAACTTCGCTCGGTGTTTCACTATGGGAATCGCCTCAGCGTGACCCAACTACGGAAGCTCCAATGACATCACGTCTGTCCATGACAGACAGGTTGAGCCGTGACTGTGGCTCCACCCACCCCAATATCACGGCCAACCTATCCCTCTCAACTCATTCTCGCTTCTTTGTGAAGAACTACAGCAAAGCTCCCTCAGCACATTCAGGCTAGCTTGGCTCTGCTTAACGGTTCGTGGGCGTTCCGTAAGACGCCGCTGAACGCAGTACCAGGACAGTCCTGGACGGTGCTGGGTAGGTGCTTCGATAAGAAGCAAGTTACACAGGCGTTTGAAGCAGCTCGCGTAAAGGCGGGCTGCTTTAATAGCTGCTCTGTTTTAATTAATAGAGGAACTAACGTTTGTGTTGGCTAAGCTAACGCGTAAAGGCGAGCTTGGTTGCTGCATAGCGGTACATCGCTAGCATTGGTAAAGTTCAGCTAACGTGTCGCGGCGAGCGGACTTTATCTAAAGCCTTATAGCTAACGTGTTAAGACGAGCTATAATAAGCTTTCAGCATGGCTACGGCTCCCGCCCCCACCAAAGGGTCGGAACCGACGGTTAAAGAGGCTGTATCCCGCCCGTGCCCAGCGTCATGCGGGGCCGTCATTTCGGGCAGGGACCCACACCCTATGTGCATCGCTTGTATGGGCGCTAAACACGCTCAGGCGTCGTTGGCTGACCCTCACGGGTGCCAGCACTGTTCGTCGATGCCAGAAAAAATCCTGGCAAGACGGCTTAGGGTAGCTGTTGCTAACAGCCAGGACCCGTGCCTCTCATCACCTTCAGCTGTTGCAGCAGGTGAAGACCATCAACCGCGAGCCTCAAAAAAGAGCTGGGCGGACATGATGGAGGAAGAGTCCTCGCCCATGCCCCCTCTGTTTGAGGGTCTCATGGGGAGCGGGGATCTCGAAACGGGCTTGGAGGATACTGAGGGTGACGCAAACTCTGACCTCCTTGATCTGGAAGACATGGAGGAAGAGGAAGATGACGTCTTCCCGGCTCACCTGTCCAGGCCGCCCAGCGGAGCGGAAATTGCCTCCCCTGTGGACAGTGACCTGTATGATGTGTGTAGACGGGCTGCTTTGAAGCTGAACATCCCTTGGCCAGCAGCCCAGGATGCAGGCGGTACAGAACGCGACCTGTATGATGGGAAAAGACTGGCACCAGTCTTGCCATCTGCGAAACAGCTTTTGCCAGCTGTTCCGGCTTGCATGAGGGAAATGAGCCGCTTCTGGTGTAGTCCATTTAAGAGCAAGCTCCCCACTAAGGGCTTCTCTAAGCTGGAGATACAGGGCATGGGTGAGTTGGGGCTGGCCGAACCCCCAACAGTGGAGCCTTCAGTGGCTTACCATCTTCACCCTAACCGCAGATCTGTGTCAGCATCTTCCAGCATCTCGCTTCCAGGTAAAATAGATCGCCTAACTGCATCTATTTACCAGCGAATGTACAAATACGCGGGGCAATCAGTGTGCTCACTCAATGCAGTTACATTGTTGTCAGCCTATCAGGGTGAAATCTTGGAGGAGATGGGTCGTCAGCTGGACTCGGGGACACCAAACCCCACCCTTTGGGATGAGATATGTGTGGTGAATGATCTTATCCTACGCTCCTCCAGAGGTGCCGTTCAAGGTTGTGGTCGTGTCATGGGACTGGCAGTCTCAGGGGAGAGGGCCTTATGGCTAAACCTGTCAGGCCTAAGTGACGCCCAAAAGGCTGAAATTATGGATTCGACCTATGAC